CTCCTCTCAGGCGAGGTTGCAGGCCATAGTCCGCCACGGGTTTATTTATTTATCTTTTATATTAGATATTTTTCGCACTCTTAATATAATAGTGTATTCACTCAAAAAGTGAATTTATTCAGAATAGCTGAAAAACTAATTACTCAGTTCCCGTGAAATATTATTATAATTTATGTACAGGTTAAAATTTATTAGACATCTAAACAACTCCTATTGCCAATTAGAAGTATATTTAAAATAAAAGTAAAAAATAATTTCATATTTTTGAGTAAGGACTGTTTTATCCAGAACTAGCTCACAAAACGTGTGTCTCATTCTGGGTTAAGTGGATATATTTTAATGGTTTCTTACAATATTCTAATGACAATTTTATTGACGTATAGAGAAACAAATTTCAAGTTCAGAAATGGTACACTCTTGAATTTCACGTATTTTGAGTTACGACACTATTGTAATAGCAGTGCGATATATAGAGAAACTTACACTGTTTTGTTATATACATTTTTATGCAGTACCTTGTACCATTTAGGCGTATACCTACAACAATTACACATATAGATAACATTTAAAAAGGAAATAAAAATAATGTAAACACAAAAAGAAAACGAAAACAGCTATCTACAACAAAACCCCTAAGACTCCACACTTAAAGCAGATGTGACATTCCGTCTAACTTGTGTACCTCCTTCGACGTGCATCACCATGTTAGCCTTCACCGAAAAGCTTATAGTTTTCGAATTTAAAAATTATAGCTTAGAATTTCGCACATAAATTCTGAGAAACTCACAGGTCCATCGGTTGGAGTCGCTGAGCTACGAATAAGTTATATTACCTACTTCACTTTTACTTTCTTTGTTCTCCTGTTATTAGGTATAAATTATTTTGTCTTTTGCAATTCTCGGCTACTTTGGCGATTCTTGTGGACACATGGAAAGGTGCCACCTTGTTCACAGCCACACTGTTCTCCTTAACTCAATATTTTTTTTAAATAGCAGTAGAGCTCCTTGTGAAATATTTCGTCCAGGGCAGTACCCCCGCACGGTATCGTGGACGGCCGCCACACGTCTCGCGGGTGATCCCCGGTGGGAACTTTAGGCGGAAGTGTACCGGTACCGGCGGAGGACTTAGAGTATCCAATCGCTGGTTCAGCGTCTGTGGAGCCGCTGGGTAAACCGGCGAAACCGGGACTCTGTCCTTTGGATTAGTGCAGGTGCTCAACGGACATGGATGCTTTAGGGAGTACCTGCATCGCGTGGCGGGTCGGGAAACGACTCCTGTCTACCATGAATGCGGCGCACCCGTCGACATGGCGAGGCACATCCTGATCTCCCGTTTGCAACAATCGTGGGCGCAATGCTCGGCAGCGAGAGGTGCTGGGAGGCTATGGTCTCCTTTTGAGAGAGCGTGATCTCGCAGAAGTAGGCGGCAAAGCGCTCCAGTGAGGACGACCCTCTCTCTGACCCGCTTCGAAGATGTAGGCCAGGGAGACGAAGGAGGCAGTACGCTCGCCTTCTTCCCCCGCCGTAGATTTAGCCGCCGGATCGGGGGACCCCTTCCACCAAGACTAGCGTGAGCATTACTGCTTTTCGTTTTTGAAGGGTAAGGAAGCTTTTGAAATTACGGGCATAAGAGACTTGTCAACTTATGTCGGGCACTGTGGCAGTGCTCCTCAGATCTTTGCGATTTAAAGCTCTGAGAGGCACTGCAATTGTTATGGATTGGCGTATCGCTATAGACTTGCCAGTTGGCCGGGGTATCCGGGATTATCCACGAATTTTTCGTCTTATCCCGTGTCCAGTACTTAAACTTTACTGTCCCGTATTTCGAACACTTAGAAGTTTTTACAAACTTACTAAAGTCCTTTTCATAAAACAAGTCGCCCAGACGCAGCGCTGTAGTCAATGTCGAAATATTAATTGCAAATGACATAAAATTTTTGTAGGTACTCCATTAGTATTAAAAACTCCCAAAAGATGGTTACAAGAAGATGGTAGAAAATAATGTTACGGCCATGTTATGACCGTCAAATTAGATAGTTGGTCATCTGTCAAATTAGTTCTATTAGTAGACGGCGCATCTCCCTTACCCTAGTAAAATTGTCCCGGAAATGATAAGTCAGTATCTGGCAACCCTAGTGGCTTACCACCAGGCGTACGACTTGTTCCTTCCGTCACTTATCTAGTATTATATAAAAAACTAATTAAATAGACATTTTTTAGCAAAATTGAGTTATTAACATAGGTAGGTACATCGAGTATATAACCAGAAATAGAGACGAAATAAGGGCCATATATTCCTGGTAACACATTAGCGATACAGCTCTTATAAATATCAACTCTCCTTTGCACTGAAATTTACAGGCCAACTACTGACCTGTGTGTACGTCTCCGTATAGTCCAAAAAATATTCTGTACTTATTGTAATAAAGATAATATCTCTAACAATGCCATGCTGTTCTATTCAGTAGTGTGGGAAAAACAGCAAAACATCTAATTACAAAACAAACAGAATCACATGTCATCGGTAATTAAATATTAAATATGTAATTTTGCAATTTTCGTCCATTATAGCAAAGCTCAAGTTAACTGGTCAATTTGAAGTGAAACAATTGACGACACCCGTCAATTGTTTCGAACTCGGGCTAACCAATCGGAGCGCAGTTGTCACAGTAATGATATGGCAGAATAGATTTCAAACAAATTAAATGACATTTCGTCTCTATTTCTGGTTATATATCATATTAGAATCATCAAAACGAGATCTACCCTTTATGCAGTTTTTTTTATATCTTATTTTGTTTCAGTTTTATTGTTAAGCAAAATACGCGAATTGCCATTTTTTACTAGTAAAAAAACTTTAAGTAAGGTACCTACGTGCCAATATGTCCAAATTTACCAAAATCCAAATAGGTATGTGTTTGTCATGACAAGGATTTGTAAAAAAAATTTTGTTGTTACTATTCAAGTATTCGAGAATTCTTATTATTAACTTGGATTATCAAGCTGTTTCTTCTCTTAATTTTTAAGTTTTGAACACCAGTTGTAGGATAAAGCTATTTCTTGAATTTATCCTTGTGAAAAAAATCCATAGGTAATCTATCTTTCTTTGTTTGCGAATAGTGTAGCGTAAGATCTTAGAGGATGGAAAAAAAGCGTAAGATACATTTATTGTTTCTTTTTTCTTAAACGTCTCTTATGACACTTATAGACGTATGAATGTGATGTAAATCCTAAATTTGTGATGTATTAAGTTACGCGGTGTTTAAGAGTTAACTGTCAGTTTAAGATTACCTCAGTAGAACCTGTAACGATAGAAAGTTAATTTTATTAAGTATCTTTGGTTAATAAATTAAAAAGACAAGACCTACGTTTCAGAAATAAAACAAATTATAATGACTGAATAGTTTTTTTTCCTACTTACAAACTATAATTATATATTCAGTTGATTCCTTTCAACTGAATACATGATTGTAAGGTTCAAACGTTGAGCAATTAGTACCTAGAATGAGAAATGGACATGATAAACAAACTGTAGTTTGTTTATCATGTCCATGTCCTATCAAAAATCAGCATTGCAAATATGGTATAAATATAGAAATACTAAAATAGAAACTGTAAATTCTGCTACATTGCTAGGAATAGATCTGGATATACATTTGAATTGGAAGGAACATATACAAAAAATACTTAATAAACTATCTTCTTTTGTTTATGCACTTCAACACCTCAAACGCGTAACAGACTATAGAACCGCCGTTGCGGCTTATTATGCACACGCGCATTCAATGCTATCGTATGGTTATATTTTGTGGGGAAATTCCTGTAATGTGGACAAGGTGTTCATACTGCAAAAAAAAGTGTATAAGGATAATAACGAATATGGACCAAATAGAATCTTGTAGACTTCATTTTGTTAAGTGTAAAATACTGACCGTTACTTCTCTCTACATTCTCGAGTCATGTAAATTTGTTAGGAAGCACCCACAGTTTTATTCACGTCTAACGAACGATAAACGAAATAACAGAAACTTAAACAAACTTAGAGTACCTTTCTCCAAAATGAAATTAGTTACGTCTGGCCCGCACACCATGTTAATTAGAATTTAATACCACATACCAAATTATATCAAAAACCTGGAAAGACTTACACAATTTACTAAAGACCTGAAGGCATTTCTTGTTAATAAATGTTATTATGACTTACATGAATTTTTGACGATACGTATGATGACAAATAACAATAATAATACAAATAAAAATACTTCGACATCTCTTATTAATAATTATTGAAATTAACGTATTGTATAAAGTAAGTTTTCTTTTCCATTACTAATTAAGAATAATGCAATGTAATAATGTATATAATAACGTAATGTTGTGATATTATATCGTAATGTAATAATTTAATATAATTAAATAGTGTGATTTATGAATTTAGCCCTCAGACGTTGCTGTGCCCTTGCAGGGCGTCATATGTATACCATCAATTAATGTTCCATCTTAAATTTGTAATGTGATATGCAATAAACGATTGAAATTGAAATTGAAATACACGAATTAATATTATTATGGTTGTGTTATTAGTCAGACGTCGTGTTTCATGACGTTTTGATTTACGTACCACATCACCATATATTGATACAACTAGAACCAAAGTTATAACAAATTAATAAAACGCCACCTATGGAAATTTCAAAATATTAGTTGGCACATGTGTGTTTAAAATAGTACCGCTACTAAACGCCAGATGGTGTAGTTAAAAATAATCTCTCAGCATGCCAGTGCCACCTATTGAGGGGTAAGAAAAGCTATAGCACTACGTGAATGGTGGTTCAAAGGTAATTTTCAAAACTAAAAAAAGTAAAAGTACAGTGTTCCTCAATAAAGTACGTTACAAAAGTTTAGCTAATTATATTTCTTCTCCTAAATATCGAAAAAAATATACAATAATTGAGAATGTGACAGTTTGTTATTGCCAAAGTATTTTATTCATCGGGAACCCCTGCCGGGAGCTGGTCACATTCTCGCTGTCTGCTTTTCAGCAAGTATGTAAATGTCATTTTTATACTTATTTTACACAATTTTTACGTTAGTTCCAACGTATATTTAGTTTTTTATGATTGTGCGAAACTAATCGAGTGGAAACCGTCGCGAGTGACCGAAAAATGTGGTCGTGTGGGGGCCATAACCTGTGTGGAGGTGAGGGTGCGTGCATCACGTAACGTCGGGAGTGCCCTGATGGTGTTGCAGACCGCGATGGTTCTGAGTACCGAGTGGGCGCAGGTGGAAGTCGTCGACCTGACCAACGACGGTAACGGCTTGGGATTCAACCTTGTCGGTGGACGCAGTACCGGAGTCGTGATCAAATACGTACTTCCTGGCGGCGTAGCAGACAAGGACGGCAGGTTACAGAGCGGCGACCACGTCCTGCAGGTGGGTTCTGTGAACCTGCGCGGCTTCACGTCAGAACAGGTGGCGTCAGTACTGCGGCAGGCAGGCCCCGCTGTGCGGCTGCTGGTAGCGCGCCCCGCTGATCCCGCGGCTGCCCTACGACCACCTCTCCCCGGCACGGCCCTTGTGCCCACTAAACTTCTAGCAGACCCAGAACTACTTGACAGGCACCTCATTGAAAGCGGCTACGGAGCTGTCTATGACTTATCCCAGTGTTACAATGAAGAATACATCAATGGTCAGAATGGCGATACTGATAACTATGTAGCTGCAGCTGTCAGCATAATCGGTGAAAATCCTCAGCAGATCCCTGACCATCCCATAGTTGCAGAGTCAGTTTCTCCAACTATCACTATTACAGTACCGCTAGAAATACCTGACCGGCCTGAAGTAGAAGTCATTCACGTAGATTTGAATAAAAATGTGTATGGTTTAGGGATCACAGTAGCTGGTTATGTTTGTGAGAAAGAGGAACTCTCTGGGATATTTGTGAAAAGCATTATAGAAGGCAGCAGTGCTGAACAGAGTGGTAAAATTAAGATAAATGATAGAATAATTGAAGTGGATGGGATATCTTTAGCTGAAAAAAGTAATCCGCAAGCTGTTGAGATATTGAGAAACACGGACATTTCTGTCCATTTAGTGTTAGAGAGGTATTTAAGAGGTCCAAAGTTTGAACAGCTGCAGCTTGCGATATTCAATGAGGAACGGCCGTCATCGCCAACTTCGTCAACTACAACCCTTTCCTGGTTCCCAGTGCCTTCCCAAGCTGATAATAGTACTACGGAGATAGAACCTGAGCCTGAGTCTAATACTACCATTGATTCTGGTGTCCTTGAAGTTGGTGATAATGATGTGAATGAACCCACTCAAGAGGAGTTAGACAAGAGACTTGATGAAATTTTGGCTGTTGATGAGGAGGAATTAAAGAAACGGTGGGATAGTGAAGTTGGTCCTGATAAACAGATAATAGTTGCTGAAGTCCGAAAACTAGAAGGCCTTGGCATCAGTCTTGAAGGCACAGTTGATGTTGAAGGTGGACAAGAGTTGAGACCACATCACTATATCAGATCAGTACTTCCAGACGGCCCAGTGGGGCGGCAAGGGACCTTGATTGCTGGAGATGAATTGTTAGAAGCTAACGAGTATAGGTTACATGGACTAACTCACACTGAAGTGGTGACGATTTTGAAGCATCTTCCAAACCGTGTTAGGCTAGTGTGTGCACGCAGCAACAGTGAGAGTGGACCTCGACCTGTTATTAACTTAGCTCCGGACCGGGAAGGTTTTGAGACAAGGAAAATAATATCGGGCAGCTTAAATAACTTGACTACACTTATCAAGGCTCAGTCTGAAACTTCCATCAACACTTCCAGCACTGCAACTCTCACCAATCACTCGGGGCATTCTAGACGATCTCGTTCCCTCGAGTGTGTCTCCGGTCTAGCCATGTGGCAGAGCAAAGAAGATATTGTAGAGTTACTAAAAGTGGATCAGGGTCTGGGTTTCTCCATTCTTGATTATCAAGACCCTGTCGACCCTAGGGGTACTGTGATAGTGGTGCGAAGCTTGGTGCCTGGTGGTGTTGCTGAGAAAAACGGACAGATTGCGCCTGGCGACAGGGTGATGTCCGTTAATGGAATTAGTATAAGAAACGCAACATTAGACCAAGCAGTCCAAGCATTGAAAGGTGCTCCAAGAGGGGTGGTAAAGGTGGGTATAGCCCGGCCTTTGGCACCTCAAGATCCCAACTCCAAATCCAAGAGCACGACAACTCTGAACAAGCCAAGTTAAACCTAACTTGCGTGATGATACCTGTGCTAGTCAAAATTACAAGTCATATCTTTACGCTTACTGTACTGAGCTTAGGGTGAACATATCGAGCGTGACACGGCGTTAGATATGTGTCAAGCCTGAGGTGCTGGCTATAAGCTACTTTTATGTAAAAAAAGAAACAAACTTCTGTCCTACAATAAGGGCCAAGTTCTTTAGCCAACACCAGCTCACAAAATTATCTTTCGAGACAGAGCTCAATGATCTAAGATACAATAATAATTTACGCTTTACTAGTTAGACGATGTAAGTTACTCCTAAGATTTCATCCATTTCGTATTGCACGTCTTAACGCATCCCTCACGATAATGCTTAAATTTAAAACATGGACGCACGGCAGTGTATGGGCCAAGTTAACAAACCTATTAAAATAAATTTTCATTCATAATTTGAAATTGCATTAGTAATGTTCCATTTTTCAATTTTGATAAGTAAGACTATAAGCAGTTGTTTATAAAGAGGTGCAGATGTACCTGTAATGAATGTGGATGTAATGCATAGCAATTGCACAAACTTAAAAGTATTGAAAAATGAAATGTTTACACAAGTATCATAATATACTCCAAAACATTTTAATGTAAAATAAGGTTTTTTTTAGTAAACATAGAGTAACCTATCACAACCTGTAGATATTTACCTAAGGGAGCAATTAACGAATGTAACTTTTACGTATAATAAAAGTAAGATGACTTTTTGTATCTTATAAAGTCATTTATATCAAAAAATTGTTAAAACCGTGGACCTGACTGTGAATTGAGTTCTTGCCATTTTTAAATTCGTTTAGAATTTTTTGTAAAATATTGTGTTTATTTTAAATATATTGTGTGATATCTACTGTAAAAAACAGTCTAAGGAATAATATTCTAAAATAAATTATTGATATCGTCCAAGCACAGTGGAAAGTAATTTTGTACAGCAATCCCTTCGAATCCTTAGATATGTTATACCAGTAGATACGATAGAATAATCAAATTGTAATATTGCTACAAAAATTGCAATTTATTTGTGCTCTCTAGTGAAAAATAGCCATTTTTGGAAGTAACATAATTTTTAGTAGTTTTAAGTGTAATATGTGTTGTGTATATACAGTAAAAAGTGCACTGAATAATTAGATGAGCACATGTGATATGAATGTTATGATTATAAATAAATAAATATTTACTAAATTTTAGTTACTAACAATGGTTGTTGTTTAGATTGTTTTCTTCGCAAGTTTTTCGAAAACGCAAATTTTTCGTAATTACATTGCATTAATTGTGTCTAAAAAACTCATATAAAAATTAAGTGCACACAAACAAGTAGAATTTAACATTAAATACTTCCACTAAAATTGGACCTATAGTAAAGTAAATAAAAAAAAATTAAATAATATGTAGAGTAGAACTTGGCTGTGTGCACTTCAAGTTAGTAAACGATTCTGTCAATTTTAAATTACTTGTATTTAAGACTTAACACTAAACTATCATAATGCTTTTTTGCGCAGAACTCTCAACTGCTAACTGTAATTATAATTTGTAATAACTTAATAACTTCAATTGTACAATTGTACATTTAACTTGTTTGGGTGATAATTCAAATTTTTTTTTAACGAATTCGCTTCAATTAATCCAGTTTCAAGATATGGCAATAACGAATCTAATTCGAAATATAAATATGACTTATTTTTCAATCAAAACATTAAGAGTTTACTTTTGAAAAATAGTATGTGTATGACACAAACTGAAATAGTTGGTTTTATTTACCTATTACACAGTTATATTCAGAATGTGCTAACTTGTATTGTGAATAAGGCACCAAGCTTTCCGTTGATTAAAACAATCACACACTTGATTAAAACATTATTTGACAACCTCAGTGGTCCAACGATTTGAACTGGACCCTGGGGGTCCTGTGCTCGATCCTCGGTAGGACCAATTTAGGAAATGAATTTTATTAAATCAGTCTGGTCTGGGTGTCCTGAGTGGTGCCCCAGAGTAAATTTAAGACCAGACATTTGGCACTTTGTGATTGTTTGGCACATTTTAATATAATTAATTATGTGACTACATTGGACTGGTGTGGAGAATTGAAAAAGAAAAAACAACGCAAAGATTTTTGAACCATCTTCCTGATGAATTAGGCGCTATTGAGATAGGCCACTATTCTAGATAGCCATCGAGTTGTAATCAAAAAACAAAAAATATATAATTACAATTCTCACCCAATCAACATAAATGTATTCTAAAATTGCTTTTACCAGTAATTTGGAAATGAGTAGAAAATCAGGCTGTGGCAATGTAGAGTTAAATCGTAACTAAATTGTAAAATTAGATGGGCAAGTTAGATTCTTAACGTTCACGTTGAAATTGACCAAATATTTGTCATATACGTACTTAACTATAGTCAACATGCGGTGAGTTGTTTTATTATTATTTTTTTGCGAATGCTTAAAAAAAGCATTTTGACCCCGTTTGTTGACAACAGCGGCGTTTACAGTTACGTTAAATGTTGAAATGTGATAGCATGGGTTGCCTTGTTTCGCTAATATGGATCTCAAAAAACCAACTACAGGTGCCTTTCCACCGGCGAGGCGAGACAAGGATTGAAATTTGTGAGCCAAAATTTCAATTCATCTTGCATCTTCGGTGGAAATGGTCTGAATTCACGAGGATGGGCGAAGCGAGAATTAAAATATTAGTTGATGTGATATTAAACCATATTGCTGCCTACATACAGTATTATGCTCTGTAACGGAAACACGATTTCTCGCGAGTGCTCTAATAATATCAATCGCGAGGTTGTGTGGTACCTACGCTCTGAGATTGAAAAAAAAAGATAGCTTCATTTGATTCTTCTTCCGTTAACATATTTAATAATAATAATTTACGGGACATGTTACTTCAGCCGCCTGTTTATCGCTAGACGAACTGAATTGCACTAAGCCTTCACTATCCACAACCACAGCGCGAAGTCGCGGTGGCTCGCGCGACTTATTATTGACAATTGTTCGTGGAAATAGGCCCGGTATAAATATTATTAATAATAAACATTCTCGTCCCGTCTCGCCTCCAAAAAATCATCTTTACAGTGTGATTTCCTAGTGCTTTCTATGTAGTTGCCGCGCACTGCTTCTCCATAAAGAAGTATCAACAACGTACTGACTAAATTCAATGATTTACATTGAACTACTTATATTGAATCAATATATACGACACAAAGAAAATAGTTATATTTTTGCCAGTACTATTTAACATACTGTCCATGAACACAGCAGTGCGTAAAGCCAAGTTCGGTTTCTTGTATTCAGACTTTACGTTGATTTTTTTTTGCAAAAAGAACACCACAACACCACGTCCTTAGTAAAACCGAATCCCAAGTATTAACTAAATATAATTTTATATACAAATAAGAAACTCGCATAGCTTTTTATATTCCATTATCTATGTTCGTTTGCGTACTTATAAGATACAAATAGTTTTGTTTGTAAAAAAAATATTATACAAAATAGAATAAAATTTTCATTGTTTTATGAAATAACTATTTTTATAAAACGCCCTGCTTTTAGTCAAAACGCTCATATTATGCCATTACATGCTTTAAATGATATATTTTTTAGTTAAATGATGTATACTGTAAAAATTAGCTGTGCATAAGTGAGATTTGATTTTCTGTAAGCTTCCGTTCAGACAGACTGAAGTGTTAAACAGGACAAACTGTTATATATTGTGATAGTATTGTACAAAATAATATTAACAAAATATTAAGATGATTATTTGCAACTTTTCTTTGGCCTCCCGAAAGTGTGTTTGGATAAAAGGTTCAATTGTCAACTTGGCGCTGTGTTTTACATTTTTTTTATATCAGTCACTAATTCCAATAACGAATATTATTAACTAAGTTAATCAGCACTAAATTGAAATTATGCCGCGGTAGCTTAGTGGTTTGACCTATCGACTTTCAAGCACAGATCGTGGGTTCAGATGCGGGGAATTTACCGTACGAAATTTAATTTGAAATTTACTGTGAGTTTTTCAGAAAACTTAATGATGAAACTTGCACGTTGAAAAACCTTCACAACCCTCGTAAAACTTGTGATGTTACCAACCCAGTAGCGGACTATGGCCTAAACACTGGCTTGAGAGGTGACCCGTGCTCACCAGTGGGACGTATAAATGGGTTGATCATTAAATTGATTAAAAGGGTAATTTTCATGTTAGTTTCAGGTCAGGTTGATTTTGGTGTCAATTTTTATTATTTAAATGTGACAGAATATTATCATTACGTTTAGTATTCTGATATATCATTTAATATTTCATGATAATAATACTCTAATATTAGATTATAAGAATTTCCACCAAAATAAACCTGACCTGAATTGTATTCTTCTAATTCATCAGCAGCAGTAGAGCTCCTTGTGAAAGAATTCGTCCAGGGAAGTACTGCCACCTTACCTATTTCTGCCGCCAAGCAGTAATGTTAGCATTAGTGCGTTCCGGTTTTGAAGGGTAAGGGTGCTGGTGACAGGCACATGGGACTTGTGAACTTATGTCTCCGGGTGATGGGCGCAGTGGCAGTGCCCCTCTGATCTTTGCGATTTAAAGATCTAAGGGTCGTATTCTAGAACTCTACTCAATGCTCAAGTCAGGATTGCACTGGAAACATAAGCACTGGAAATACGACCCTAATGCCAGGGACTTGAGTATGATTTCGAGTGTTTTAAACCATACTCAAATCCTGACTTGAGCATTGAGTAGAGTTCTAGAATACGACCCTGTGTCACAGTCGTGTAGCTTACCGTTAGGTCACTTGATATTATAAAAAAAATCTATTCTAAGAATTCCAACCTGAAAACTACCCAAAACTATGAATATATTACTTAACTAACGAATACTCGACCTAATTAAACAATGCAATCACGCGAATGAAGCTTTATACTTAATTTTGTCAAGTACCTATTTATGTGATGGTAATTGTTTCGGACGAAGAAAGTACATCCCCAGTACCCACTTACAAGTGAAATGTAAAATTGATTGTGCCTCTTATCCATACATAAAAAGCCTATTTGATTTATTGCCACACTATTCTGAACGTTAGTGAGAGTAATAATAAGGTGTTTAGTTGCGCACTTTAACTTACTCAATAAGACACAGTCACCTTAGCCTAACACTCCGGCATGTAAAGATAAAAGAAATATAAACATAAAATAACTCGTGTTGTTTTTATTTTTTATTATTGACAAATTTATGGGATAACCACGTAAATACTTGTTACACTATGGACATTAGGCTCAGTTTATAATGAATGTGGGTACGTCAATAGAGCATCATACAAACTAGAGACTGTTGATGAAATTCCAGGCACGTGGGACTTGTCAGCTTATGTCCCAGGGTGACAAAGTCAAAGTCAAAGATTATTTATTCCATAGGTAAAATAAATTTACACTTGAAAACGTCACATTTAAGCTACTGCTCGTTCACTACGCTGACCTCCCAGAGAAGAACGAGCAAGAAACTCTAGGGATTGCTGTTTTCAAATAAACTTAAATGCTATGGAATACACTTTAAATCAAATTTGTGTGGATTCTGGAGCCATGTCGCCTTTCCATACATCTTTATCTAACACGTAGTCTTCAATTTTGTAATATGATTTTTCGATCAAAATATTTTTAATGTAGTTTTTAAACTTAGGAAATGATAAACTTAATATATGCTCCGGAATCTTATTGTAAAAACGTATACAGTTCCCCATAAAAGAGTAGTTTACCTTGGTTAAACAAAATCGTGGTACCATGAAATTGGACTTAGCTCTAAGGTTAATATTATGGATATCTTCTTTCTTATTGAAACTATGTATATTTTTACGGGCATATAAAATATTTGACTAAATGTACTGTGATGCCACAGTCATGATACCAGTCTCCTTAAACTTTTCTCTGAGAGAAACCCGAGAGCCTAGACGGTACACAGAACGAATCGCTCGTTTTTGCAATACAAATATGGTTTAAATATCTGCCGCTTTATCCCACATGAGAATCCCGTAGGACTATACAATGGAAGTAACTAAAGTAAACTAGTCTAGCAGTACTAACATCGGTAAGCTCACGTATTCTGCGGACTGCCTATGCAGCGGAGCTTAATCTGCTGGCCAGAGAAGATATGACGTGGTAGTACCCTCAGATCTTTGTGATTTAAAGCAGCTCTGAGTGGCACTGCAACTGCTACGGACAGGCGTGTTGCTTCCAGGCGAATTACTTGTTCATCTCAACACTTTGGTGTCATAATAATCTCTATCGAGTAGGTACTAAAAAACCGACCGCAAAAGTTACATCTATTTGCCAAGTTTGATTGAATTCGGTTACCGGAAAGTGGGCGTAACCGGATTCAACCCCTAGTTTGCCACCCTTTGAGGTGGAATATTTTCTTCAAATTTAAATGGGACCACTGCTGAGGTACCCTGTTTTCAACAAAAAAGAATCATCAAAATCGGTTCACAAATTATAGCGTAACATACATACAAAAAAAAAATACAGTCGATTTGAGGACCTCCTTTTTTGGTTTTAAAATAAATTAAATTAACTAGGAAATGAAACTATGTATTTTTCCGGATTTAAATCGCGTATATTTGTTTTTTTCAAACAAACCGACGTTTCGGGCCCTTTACAGGTCGCATGGTCACGGTTGACTGAGGTGGTACAGTCTTCAACCAGTTATGTCTAATAATGATGCAAACCACCTTATTTTTTCACTATAGTTACAATAGTTATTAATTAAATACCTTATTTTAATTTTACAAAGAAAACATTTCAGTTTACGCTATATTAAGTTTTACAAATTATTTTATTGAATGAATTTTTATTAAGTTCAATTTATCATTAATTATTAATAGAAATTAGAATAAACTAAAACATATTAATTAGTACTGCAGTCTTATGTCTGTTTGGAATTTTTCATTAGAGAAAATACTGGATCCCAAACTGGTGGTACGGAGAAACCATCTTCCCTGTTGAAATTAGGATGTTTTTCAATTTCAATGGCCTCTCGCAGCATCCTGGGTAGATAACGGACTTCTTTTGCAAGCACCTGGGGTTTGTCAAACTTCATTGAATGTATAATGAAAAAACAAATATACGCGATTTAAATCCGGAAAAATAGTTTCATTTCCTATGTGTAACAATCGCGAAAACCTAAGAATTAAATTAACTAATCAATTATTTAGGTATATAATAATACCAAATTTTTATTTAATTCTATGCAAACAAGGTGAGTTACTGTGTATAGTATTTGAGGATTTATAGTGCTTCAAGCCACTCTAATAAAAGTTTGTTTATTTGTGCTGCAGAAATGTGGGTGCCGAATTTTCCTATCACCGTGGTCAGTGCGGTGGTCGCAAGCGCCGGCGCAGTTTGCATATTCAAGTACGTAAATATCACCACATTTACAATATTGTAATTGCAATATTGTAATAATAAGGCTCAATTTATATTGCGGCGGAACGAAATGGAAGTGAATTTTGTTTTGTTGAAGCGAGTTTATGTAACGATATTCTAAAGGGTTTTTCAACAAGAACTTTGTTTTGTTAATCAAAATAAAACAATACATTTAGACTTAGAATAATAACGCATAGAAACCTAGTCCGCACACGCTAAGTGAGGCAGATTGAAGCGCCTACACGAGCGGGCGGGCCTTCAGTGCTCAAGATCAACTTGCAACGCGAACAGCTCCAGAATTTTACCTAAAAATGAGTAAATGTGCGGTAAATGAGTGTAAAAATACGTCAGACAAACATAAAATAGATACTAACATCACATTCCACAAGGAAGTAACGCGTTTCAACTTGTATTTTTATATAAATATTCACTAAAACCGAAAATTAACCTACTACTAAAACTAGCCTACATGAATTTGATTTTTGCCTCACTTGTGACAGTTCGTTTGATATGAAACTATCATTCTATCCGTTATTATTCTAAGCCTAGGAGTATCTGCGCGAAGCACTAGACACACTTCTTTGTTTCAAGTACCGTTTCATTCTACAAATTATGGCAAAAATAGCTGTACTGACCAGATTAGTCAGGGGCTATAATAATCATTTTAATGAAGTAGATCCGTTTATAGATAATGGTATCCGATAAATGTCCACCACGACCACAGTTACAGGTGTCGATTCTTTCATCAAAGTTTTTAATCACTTTTTGACAAAATGGTAGACTCTGTCTTTAATATAAACCCATAAAATTAATCCAGCGGCGTTAAATCACATGACCGAGCTGGCCACTTAACGGCTGCATTTCGTGAAATTATGCGATCGGGAAATTTGATTTGCAATAAATTCATTGTTTCGGTAGCTGTTTCAAAGTTATTAATAATTGACTTGGTATTCTCGCAGAGATATGTACGGCGGGCCAGCGTTCGACCACAGCGTCCGCGCGGATGGCAAGACGGTCATAGTGACAGGGGCTAATACTGGCATAGGCAAAGAAGTGGCTTGGGAGTTTGCCAAGCGAGGTGCTAAGGTGGGCATTCATATAAAAGTTTCCCAAAATTTTTAATGTTGTCACTTAGTGAGCATGCGGAATGTCGCCAAGGATGGGTGGTATTTGTTAAGTCACAAAACAAAACGTTCGGAGAATGCTGTTTTATAAATATTCCCTCGACACTGGTTTTTGCCTACCCCGATGAGAAAAGGGCGTAAACTGTATCCAGTTACGTGCAGTTATTTTTTTTTAATTTTCTCCACAGATATACAATTTATACTTATTTTAAAGACCTTGCCAACCTGGGCATCAGGTTGTTGGCAACGTTCTTTTACATTACCTGTATGTATATCTATTCTAGTTAATTCTTCATTAATTAAGTTACATTAAATACTAGCTAATTTTCTAAAGTAACACTGTCTTTGTAAATAATACTAGGTATTTCGAATCATAATATTTATTTCACTAAAACATTACATCACTTAGGAACAATTTTTTTAATTTCTTTCACTTTTACTAACCTTCGTACTTTCTCTGAGCCAGTCTATTTTATTGTATATTATTATTTATTAACTTCACATTTATTTAATTTCCATTCTCTAACTCTTTACCTGATATTATCTAATCTCCCACGGTTTAAAACAAAAATTTTAGAATTTTTAGACGGAGGTGGCAGTTCCAGATACTTACGACGTTTCTCTATTTCGGCTTTAATGACTCCCGACCACGTGAGATGGTAACGTCCACAAGAAATAGGCTTGATTGCTACAGATCCGGAACACTCCATCCTTATGTCGTTGATATACCACCCATTCGCTCTAACTTTGCTGAATAGTCTACAATCGGCATCTGTGTTTCCTGAAAAGTACAGTTTGGGGCTATTCAAGGCTATAGTGAATTGATATTCAATTATTTTTATGTGAATTTACTCCACTAGTTTGTTATAATTATTAATACAAAGATCGGACAACTAGAAAAAATTCCTTCGATCCGGCCGGATTCGAACGTCTCCTAGCATACCGTGTCAAGCGCTATACCAACTAAGCCACAGAACGAACCAGCGGTCCTCACGAATTCTTATATGTGCTTGCGTCGTATCTTTGTATTTGGTTTTTCAACGACTTTACTTAGCCGTAGCGCCATCTATGTGAAATATTATGATATTTCGTCACCCAGTTAGATACCTTAACAGCTACCAGCCCCGGCTAGAGATGTCGCTATTCATTGTATTTGAATTGATATTCAATTATTTTTATGTGAAATTACTCAGACACGGTATGTTAGAAGACGTCATTCCTTCGATCTTCGAGGATTTTTTTCTGATTGTTCGATCTTTGTATTAATAATTATATCAGGTATTTTTTAGGCAAACGCGTACCATCGTCGCTTAACATAGGTGAAATCGTGGCCAAGCTATTATTGATAAAAAAAAACGGCGATAACAGCCTCCGTGGCCGATCGGTTACCACGCCGGACTGCCACGCAGGGGTTCCAGGTTCGATTCCCGGGCCGGGAGAAATATTTGTATGGCCTACATTTATTTCTCTCGTGAGTTTGGGTGTAATTTGTGATTGTCTATGGGCCGTATTCCAGAACTCTACTCAATGCTCAAGTCAGGACTTGAGCAGACTTGCTTGATTTCACTTGATTTCAAGCACTGGAAATACGACCCTAATGGCAAGGACTTGAGCATGATTTTCAGTGCTCACTGCAATACTCAAGTCCTGACTTGAGTATTGAGTAGAGTTCTGGAATACGACCCTATGTGTGTGTCCATGGCACCCGCGATACAGGGTCTCCCTAATGCGGGGCTATGTTGAGTGTGTGCGTTATTATTATTACTATAGGACACACTTTCTAATACCTGTTGACAGGTATTCATGGCATGTCGTGACTTAGAGAAGTGCGAAGAGGTGCGTCGTGATATCGTCTTAGAGACGAAGAACAAGTTCGTATATTGCCGTCCTTGCGATCTCGCGTCGCTTGCTTCTGTCCGTGACTTTGTTGCCATGTAAGTTTTTTATTAAATATATTTCTTTCATACAAGCTCAGGGGCCTTGAGAGGATCTCGGCGTCTAACGTTAAGGAATAATTGTATGCCCCCATGTACTGGTCTCCTCGTCATAACTACTGCATTTTCATTTTGCAATTTTCGAGATACTCGCATTTGAATTGTTTTTTATTTGAAAAATTATTTATATATAAAGTTGATTACGTTTGGGACTTGTCGCTGAAAAATGTCTTGCCAGACATCGAACCCGTACTAACCGTTTGAATGTCAAGATTATCATCGTATGCTAGCATCTTCCGCAGAATTCTCATGCATGCTCGAGAATGCTAACGTTCGCTATGCTAACAATATCGTTAAAAAATTCGCTTCAGCATGGAATAAAAGCGAATTTTTGTAACGAAATAGTCATCAACCCATTTATACGTCCCACTGCTGGGCACGGGTCTCCTCTCAGGCGAGGACTTAGGCTATATTCCGCCACGCTGTGGAGTTCACACGTTTTCCGCGGACTGTGAATGTTCTTCGACGGGCAGTCACGATGTTCTTCTTCACCGAAAAGCTCATGATACTTAAATTTCACGTGCGAGTCCGGAGTCGACCTCACGCCCTCTGCTTGAGAGGCGAGTTTTTTTATAATATCAAGTGACGGAACGAACAAGTCGTGTGCCTGGTGGAAGTTACACGCCTGTCCATAACAGTTGCAGGGCCACTTAGAGCTTCAAATCGCAAAGACCTGGCACTGCCACTGTGCCTGTCACCCTAAGACATAAGTTGACAAGTCCCATGTGCCTATAATTTCACCGGTAACGGCTCGAAATAGGTAAGGTAGCAGTGCTTCCCCGGACAAACTCTTTCACAAAGGGCTCTACTGCTACTTTAAACTAGGTCAAATCATTATACTATCACAGCTTCTTATAAACTAAATAATACACAGCACAATTAACTTTATACCAATTGTATGACGTACGAAGTAGATACTAGCCAAAAAACTCGTTCAAAACAAAAGAATTCTCTCACAATCTCAGGAATTTCCTCACCTACCGTATCATATCTATGTATAATGTATATTGAGCCTAACAAGTCATTTTCGTTTTCAATGTAATTTTAAATTAACGTAATTCTCAGGTTCAAAAGCGAAGAGCCAAAACTACACGTCCTAGTAAACAACGCGGGCGTAATGGAGCCTCCAGAGCCGCTGACCCGCGACGGCTTCGAGCCCCAGCTTGGTGTGAACCACCTCGGACACTTCCTGCTCACGAACTTGCTCTTGGACACCTTGAAGGTATAGTAGTGAAAGGGTTGTAAACCGCCAATAGGGAGCAATAAAATAGATTACTCGGTCACATAAATTTATTGTATACGATAAAGGTGAAAGAAAGGGATGTAACAAAAGAATGGTATAAAAAAAAACAGGAACAATATTAAAAAACACTCCCTATTTAAATACTATAAATTGTGAGATAGTAAACGTATCCCGAAAGGGCCGTATTTTAGAAATATTACTAGATTTTAGTGGTATTATATAGGCACATGATTTAAAGTGGAAACTTGGAAACGGATCAAAATTAGCGGTGAAGGCGAGGAAGTGCTCGCTTCAGAGAATAAGCAGAGAGTGAAGACGGAACGAAACAAAGTAAGAATGAATAAAAAAATAAAATAAAATGCATTTATTTCGGACTACAATAAGATCCATAAAAAATGTTAGTATTACAGCAAAAACTTAAACGACTATATTAGTACGTAAACTTAAATTAAGACAGGACCAGTGCCTTAGCAGTCCACTGTCCCATCTGTGTGCAACAACTGTGAAGAGTTTGTGGCAGCTGCCGCGCACCCTACGCATTGTCGCGGCGCAGCGCTTGCGCAACGTCGCTTCGAAGCCGTCAACCCTCGCATCCGCGAACATCCCGGACGCACTACAGTGTCGCGGCAGCCGCAACAGAACCCTGAACGCGTCGTTGTACTGTACACGCATTGCATTCAGTGACTCTTGTGTGTACCTGTAAAAAAAGGGATTAAAAAGGAATAAAAAAAAACGATTCAAAATAAGTGGCCAGGAACCAGAGAAAGGTGATAAAGAGGTGGGATGACGATGGAAGAGGTCGCATCGTCACAGTAAAGGGCTTTCCATTAAGGGTATGTAGATTTTTGACAGTTCATAGCGGCCATGTTGTTGAGGCTGCTTTTGTCAAATCTGTTATTTATTTTTCGGACACTAAAGACAAATCATTATGGCAAGTTACAGCGTCGAACAACACGTGCAAATGGTAAAAAATTATTATCATAATGGGTGTTCTATTGTGGCGACGATGCGCGCATTGCGCCCGTTACGGTTACGTGGTCGTCCGTCCCAGCCAAATTCAAGTCGACAAGTTCAGTGAACCATCAACCAACACGCGGTACGTCAACGAAACGCAAGATCTGCCGAAAACAATGCCGTTGTCCGTGAAAGTATTCAGGAGAACCAGAGTAAGTCTTAAGCCATAAGAGAACACTCATTTTGATAATATTTTTTTATCATTTGCACGTGTTGCTCGACGCTATAACTTGCCATGATGATTTCGACTCATCCGAAGAACAGAGTCTGATGTGATTATACAGCGAAAATATGATAAATACATAATCTTGTTATTGAAAATAAGGCCAATCCATAGGTGTTGTCAGAATTTTTATTTCTTATTTCGTTTCGGAAATATAAAATCGAACAACAGTCGATCTGATACCCACAGCGAAGAACAACGAACGAAATGTACAATGTTCTGAGAATAAACAGTCTTACACATACGCCTTTGTTCTACGGATGAGTCGATTTGTCTTTATTGACTGAAAAATAAACAATAGATTTGACAAAAGCAGCGTCAATAACATGGCCGCCTATGGCCGCTATGAACTGCAAAAATCTACCCGCCGTTGATATTATTCTACGTACACAGTAAAATGCTCTTTACACACTTCATCATTTACAAAGAGACTAAAAACTACTAATACATGAAACTTATTATACAATTGATGAATTTGTTAGTGTTCAAACAATAATTGCATAAATAGCAATAACTGTTCACTTTAGAAATGCTTGCATGACATGACAATGTAGGATTACGATCTTTATTATTATTGACATTAGTAATACACTGCTTTGGTTAATGACATATCTATAATTAATTTTTGGACATCATAATTTAATTTAGGACATTCGTTAAGAGTGCTTATTTCTTGTTTTTGTCTTTTTTTTTCTTCAAATATAATGTTTTATTAAATTTTAACGAATGAATTATAAATTAAATTGTATCGACTTGACTTATGAACTTTTTAATTTTATTGTGATTTAAATAGGATAAATATTATTATATGTCAAAAAAGTTCACTGCGGAAACTGTCAGAAGAAGTCACGCCGACAAAAACAATGCTCTAGAATAAAAAGAAAAGGAACCAACCAATCAGATGCCAACCTTGTTTATATTACGTATTCGTTCTTAGGCTTCAGCCCCCAGCAGAGTGGTAATAGTTGCTGCCAGCGCGCACTACCGCGGGAAAATCAACAAGCAAGACCTTAACATGACGCAGACGAAGGACAAAACGTCGGCGTACGCGCAGAGCAAGCTGGCTAACGTGCTTTTCGCGAGAGAGCTAGGAAGGCGGTTACTAGGTGAGTAACGCTATTTCACACGACCGTATCATCATGTTGCAAATTTTAAAAATGTACACATCTTGGGAATCTAGACTGACAATAACAATAAAAATAAATATAACAAGAAAAGGGTGCTTGATCCCCAGGGATCACTAATGAGACGACCAGGTATCCCTAGGGATCAAGCACCCTTTTCTTGTTATATGTAATGCTGTGATCAAACGTGCTGTATAAATGCTTTATCTATCTAAATATTCACAGATTCCAATGTAGCAGTGATAGCGGTCGACCCGGGCCTCACCGACACATCGTTAACGCGTCATATGTCTATGATGAAGAGCGTCACTCGGTTTTTAATCTACCCTATCTTCTGGCCGTTCATGAAGAAACCTAAGACCGGTGCCCAGGTTATTTTGCATGCTGCGTTGCATGACAAAATGGATACATGTGCTGGAGATTATTACGTGTAAGTAACACTATTATTTCACTACCGCTACCGCGGTGGGTAGCGAAAAATTATGCACGGTATCCCACCGGGTATTTATAATTAAGTTCCGCGGCTAGATCCCCAAGTCTGTTAAATTTAAATTATCTCAATTGTACACCGATAATGTCAATGGTAGGGTTTTGTACGTTTGGTGTTCTGCTAAAAATTAATGAGTGCTACTATTCAATATTTAGTAGCAGTAGAGCTCCTTGTGAAAGAGTTTGTCCTGGGTAATTAATATTGCCACTTTACCTATTTCTGCCGCCAAGCGTTACTGTGTTCCGGTTTTGAAGGGTAAGGTGATATTACAGGCACATGGGACTTGTCAACTTATGTCTCAGCGTGGACAGGCGTGTGGCTTACCATCAGGCGCATGACTTGTTCGTCCCGTCACTTGATATTATATAAAAAAAACTGCCATTGCAATTTTTTGGTTTTCTGCTCTTTTGAAGAGTTGAATGGCACGTCGATGACGTAGTCTACTATTTACGTGAAATAAGAAAATACATTTCATTTAGACTCATCCGTAGAACAAAGGCGTATGTGTAAGACTGTTTATTTTCAGAACATTGTTACATTTCGTTCGTTGTTCTTCGCCGTGGGTATCAGATCGACTGTTGTTCGTTTTTATATTTCCGAAACGAAATTAGATATAAAAATTCTGAAAACACCTATCGATTGGCCTTATTTTGAATAACGAGATTATGTATTTAATATATTTTCGCTGTATAGGTAATCACATCAGACTCTGTTCTTCGGATGAGTCGATTTGAAGACAAAATTACTGCTTAAACGACATAAAAATTAAAATATGCATAGTAATATCGATGGTAGATTTAGTAAGGCAACATCGATCGTTTGGATTGAATGAATGAATAATAGTAATCTTTATTGTCTCTTATCAAGGTCCTTTTTTAATATTAAATTTATAAATAGCTAATTTGAATTTTTACTAAGAAAAGAAAAGCCTTGGTAAGAGACTGGAGCCCCTACTAGGTGTTAACCTGTGTGACAGATCTCCAGGCTCCCACCTTCGGATATAATACAATTCCCTTTTACTGTAAGTGCTATTTAACAAAATGAAACTCGCATTTAAGATAACAGACAATATTTTGAAAAGAAAGATACAAATAAAATTGTCAGTAGGCTATTGTACGGACAACGGCACATCAGACTACACATTTTTGTTCGAAAATCACCTCCAGTGTAACGGAACAAGATACGTCAATGTAGCTTGATATACTTGTAATTATAGGTTTGTGTGCGTGTGCGTATGCTTGCGCGTGTGCGTGTGTGTAAAATTACCATGTAAATTACTATGCATATCTTAATATATATCTAAAATGACATTTGCAGGGTTTCATAAAATTTTAAACAGTCATGTAGTTGTTGTTGTTGACAGTTTTATCGATAGATTGTGAAAGAATGTAATATTTTAATTTTTAAGTTTAATCTTATTATTAAGTTTAATATTATTCTAATTTCCATTATTAATTAATAATAATTTCCATATTTTTTACGTATTTTTAAAAGACAGTTCTAAATGTAGCGTACCTAGGTATGTATGAACTTAGAAAAGTTCG